GTGAAGTGGCATGTCATCCAAATAGAGAAGAAGCTAAAAAAAGGAGGAGGGGTATCCTGCCACATATAGGTTCATCTTTTCTTTAATTTAAAGAGACAGATTCATGGTGTGAATTGTACCGGGCACCAAAGGAAAGTCTCCTGACTTTTGGTGTTGATTTAGCTTCCTTATTATGCCTCAGATTATTTTCACTCTCTATCCACATCACAGTCAGAACTCATTTATTTCAAGATGTTTTGACATGAAAACAATGGCTAATTCAGTCTCCGGAGTTTGCAGGTTTTAGACACACTTCCAAATAGAAAATCTTTTTTGCAGCAAATTTAAGTGGGGAACGAGACGAACAAAAGTGACAACAATCATCTTTCCATTTCTCAGATTCCTGTCCCTGCCTCTGTAGCTCCACTTACCTTCATGCTCCCTACCTCCTCCAGACCTGGCCTCCTCATGCTTGGAGTTAATGAGACAGGTCATTGTCACATCTGAGCTGCGGTTCTTGTTAATATCCATCCTGTCTGTGTTCTGGATTATGTTATCCGGGCTCAGACGTTTGTCATGACTGTGGTTGACTTTTCGGGAACAGGCAGACTGTTGGTAATTGCTACAATCCACTGGAAATAATTCTCCCCTGCAATGTGAGTGCACACTATATAACATGGAACTGCATCTACAGAGCCACTTAAAAAAATATCCTGACCTTATCCAGCAAAGTTTAGACATTTCCTTTTATTTATCTGGCAAGGTGGTGGATTCAATTATTCCTTGAAAGCACTAAAATGTCCATGCTTTTTTAAGGTTTTTCTGTTTGAAAAGTGACCCTGTGAAATACACCCCAGTGCGATAGCTTGCAGAGGACAAGATGATTTTGCATAAAATCCAAAAGACGGATGGAGTGGGATGAATAAATAAAAGGCAGGACTCAGAGGCTGTAGAGTTGCAGTAATTACAGCCAAAGTCTTCTACAATCACAAATCATTTTATATGCAAATCCATGACAATTGTCTTAGACTGGTAATAATTTTAGTCATTTACACCAGCATGGCAAAGTTTTGACCTTATTACAGTCCATATAATGGAGATGAGAAACAATTGGGAAGCACCAGATTCAATTTACTCTTTTTTTTTTACCATATCTGCTTATATCAGAGTCTAAAATGCCCTGCTGTGTTTGTGACCACCTTCATCAAGTCAAAGCCTATTTCTAGAGCAGAATGGACCTCTCTCTCTCTCTCTCTCTCTCTCTCTCTCTCTCTCGTTGTCTCTCTTCATGTATTCCAATGTTCCAAATGAAATTGAAGTCCTTGACATGTTTTTGGGTTTTTCTTTTCTAACAAAATGTTCTTTAGCCTTGGCAGTCAGTCAAGGAAAGCCATTCAAGCCATTAGGACCTTGTATCAACAAAAAGAAAAAGAAAAAACTGGCCATCATCCTCACAATAGAGGTACAAGGTGCTGTTTTGTGTGGTAGAGATAAGCTTTTAATTATTCAAGTTTTGTAGTAAAGACTACAGAACTCTTGCTGCTTTAAAAAAAGGTAGATTGTGGCACAGTGCGTGCTTAAAAACAAACTTCATATTGTGCTGCACTGCAGCTCTTGCTTCCTAATTAATGATGTGAACCCTTTTGTCTTTTTTTTGGCCAAGGCGTTGGACTGAGATGACTAGGATTTAGTGAAATCGAGACCAGGTTTTTGGACTCCAATGGCTTTGATTCTGCAGGATTCTCTTTGTGCATCTTAGTGAAGCAGCATTTCTCAGGTTCAAATCCACCTCTCTGTTTGTGGAGGAAACTGTCCTCTGTACAATTCAATTCAGTTTACTTACTGTTTATAGCCCAAAGTCACAACATACGTCATCTCAGGGCACTTGCACAAAAATAAAGTAATTTAAAGAAGCCAGCCCATTGCCTCGAATCACTTCGTCACAGTCTCCCATCCTGAGCAGCACATTGGCAACAGTGGAAAGGAAAAACTCCCTTTAAACAAGAAGAAAGACAGCAGAACCAGAACCAGGCTCAGGACAGGCGGTCATCTGCCTGGGTTTGTGGGGACAGGAAAGAGATACAGAGAAACACAGAAGGACTGGTCCAGGTGCATCAAGAAAACACATTACTGATAGAAATAATTACAACAAACATGTAGAGGAGAGTGACTGAAACCAGCAGCAGAGTGAGGAAATGTGGTCAGTTTGTCCTCCAGCCATCTGAACCTGTAGCAGCAGAACTAAGGAACAACTCAGAAAACCAGCCCGAACTATAGGATTTATCAAAAAGAAAAAAAAGGAAAAACTCAGTAGTGATGGTCAATATCACCAATTTCTGATAACTGTGAAAACTGGTATTGGCAATACTGATCTGATACTGAATACACCTAATGTATCGGGTAAATCTTACTGCTTTATAAAGAATACAAGAATTCAGAGCAAATTATTTATTATTATCATTTTAAACAGATATTGTTGTAGTGTCCTCATTTACAACAGCTGAGCTAAGAGCCTACAATGGAAAATCCAGAGGACACAATCAAACAAAATATGTGAAAATAATGTTTTAAACAATAAAAAAGAATTTTAAAAAAGAATTAAAGTAATTTTTGCCTAATTATTAGTAACTAAAAATGAAAACTTACATCTTAATTTAGATTACAAGAACATATTGACATGAAAATACTGAACATGTAATATCAACAGGCTGAGCACAGGCTGAGATTACCCATCACACAGGTGGAAGAAAAAGTAGTTCCCTCCAACCGCACACGATTTAGAGTTCAATATTTTAGTTACTTTCCACAGTTTTCCTGTTAAGGATATAGATTACCTGAAATGACTGAAGTATCAAAGTATCAATATTTTGATTTTAGCATTGATTCTAGAGCATGAAGTTCTGGTAGCAGTAGTATCCATATTTTAGTATAGATTCACACATCCCTCCGACTATATATTATGACCATCACAAAAAGGATGCAACATTATGGTCAGATTCTGAAGAATTTGAATAAATACTATATTTTTCTCCTTTATTTTTTTCTACATTATTAGTAAGCAAAACTGGAAAACCTAGAGCTGTTTTTCTCTGTTTTTATGAGGTTTCAACGCATCTGCTGCGGTTGGCAAGGGACCTTGAAAGAGAAGCCTGTATCCTGCTTTGCCTGCAGTGGGGAAAAAAAGGGAAAAAAACGAGAGACAAACAGTGGAAGAAAAAATGTCAAACTAATAGATAGTCACTACTAGCATGCATGCTGCGGCTCATAGATGCAGCTCCTAGTCAAAGCCTCAATCACTCACTGCTCAAATCCCACGAGAGGCTCGGGAACACAGAGATGCCACAGTCTGACAGGGAACACTGCCACGGCTCTGCCCCGGCACCCCCACTATAAGATCTCTGTTCAAGCCATGTGTGCACCTCTGACAGCTCCAACTCTTACTTTAACTACAAGTGTCTTTATTCCCTAGATGGCCAGGAACAGCCTACAGTTTGCCCTCAGCAATCGCACTAATATGTCTCCAGTCCCAATGCAGAGACCTGCTTGATGTGAAAGTGTATTTTAGAAATAGAACGCAATCTAGAGGGTAAATATAGCAGATGTCATCTGCTGCCAGCTCTCCAGTGAAACAATAAACAGAGTGTGCTGGCAGAATACTGCCTTGTTTTATCACTGAACTGGTGTTGCATAAGATTTATGAACTGCCAGGGAGGCAACAATTCCATGTAGTGAGGATTGATGGCGCTTGGTTCTGAAATTTGTCTGGCTGGAACATTAACTCAGCAGATTTGTCCCTGTCTTCACAAGTACAGCCTTGTCAATTATTTAAAAGAGCAAAACAACGGCCCAGAAAAAGACAGCGCGCCGTGAATGAAGCTCATTTACACATCTTTATTCCCAGAAGTGTTCTCATGTGTTTAGGCCATAATAAGAGCTGGTCTTTCATCCCTTTGTGTTTGTCGGTTAATTCACACCATCACCGGTGTGCATTTCCATCATTCCTCAAAGACGACGGCGTCAAGGGAAAACAAAAAGGCATTACGGAGAAGGTAATAAAAAAGAAGTCTTAAAAAAAGAGAGGCTGGCTTAAAAAAGAAGCCAGCTCTGGAGTCACTTTCCAGGAAGAGACCTTGTATAGCCACCCAATTTTAGACTTGATCATAACAAATTATGACCAGAGTATTATATTCCAATGGAATATTTGGATTTTTTTATGCGACAGGGTAGTCTGGTACATTTTGGATCAATGTAAGATACTAAAAAAACAATAACAATGAAATTGCTGCACATTTTAGCTCTATGTTTTCCACCTTAATCGACATTTTGCCTCTTGGGTTGTCAATCTTCAAAGCTGATGAAGGCCCGAGGGCTGAAAAGTTGATTAAATGAAGTGGAGTAATTATAGGGCTGGAGTGTGCAACACTTTCTTCAAGTTTTATTTTGTTTCGTATGGATCACCAACTCACCATAAATGTTGTCTTTGAGCAGAGGTTTAGGATGACTTAAAAGATTTATTTAATTATACTTAAGGTGAATACTTAATGACTTGTGATTAACACCCGTGTTTCAATTTGTATTTCTTCTTATTGCACTCGCTTCTTGAGCATTTAGGTGTAAAGCAGAGCACTGAAGTAAATATAAATCATTGTGTTTTTAAAGTGGGGGCTGCCAGGGGCCGCGGGGGGAGCCTCGGAAAGCTGGAGGGAAAAGAAAAAAATTAATAAATGTTTTAAATCATTATCATAACATTAAATCTGTTTTTTAAACTGTGATTTTAAAACATAATTTACAATAACATATTGAAATGTTATTTAAGAGAGGTTTTAGTTCTTTGGTCCCATTCTTAACATCAACAGTTGTTTTTTTTTCCAGTGGGAACATAATAGTCTTTAAAACATGTTAGTTGTTAAATTTGATTTATTAATTTATTTAAAAACAAAACAAATGTTATATACAATAAAAAATACAAATCATGAATAAAATGAAAGGCAGCAGAAAGAAGTAAAAAAATCTAAAAATAAAAATACAATAAAATGAAATAAAATAAAATTCTAATGCTAAACAAAGTAATAATTATTGAGTAATGAATAAAAGTGAGGAAATAACATTCTAAAAGTTATTGTTTCTTCACATATATTGTAGCATTGTTTGTGAGTTTGCAAGTGAGGTCCCCGGCCAGAAGCTAAGGCTGTTTAGGTCTCTAAATGACAGATAAAAACTGTAAAAATCATCTTTATTTTTTCAGTAAAAACTTATATAAGAACAGCAAGAGGAAAAGCAAAGCTAATATTTACCAGCCCAACAAGAGGTTCTTTATCTGCTCTTTAGCATGTCTACTTTCTCACTGTTTTCCTATACCGTTGTCTTATCTGCTAAATTATATCTTTTACAGTCGGAGTGATTTTTTTTGTAACTTTTCAAACTTTTATCCATTTTTTTTCTTCTTACTTTATCAAAGTAGCAAAACTCAAAGCAGTAAAACACCTTGACAGTGTGTTGGAGGGGGATTCGGTTGAGGTGTTGAGCTGGAGACAAAAGTTGTGAAGTATAGCTTCTAAGACTTTTCTCCAGGCAGTTTTAACACAACACATTCATTCTTATTACGAGTAAACTCTAAAGACAAAGAATAAACACACGTTCGCTTCAGATTACGTCCAGTTGTTGGAACATTTGCTCTTTTATTGGTGCTCTTTTCCTTGTTGGTCCAATTACCTGCTCTCATCTCAGAATTTCTCTCATAGTTTATAAGTTTGACATCTTCATTCCAAATTCTTCATGCAGTACAAGCTTTGAGATGTGGCTCATAAGACACAGCCCCCACATCCCAATCTGTCAGGACCCCTCTCAGTAAATCCCCATCACACACGGTGCAGGTTTGCATCTGTCTGTCCGAATGCAGTCAGTTTCTCCTCCCTGCGCTTATAAAACCACTAGATGATGACACTAATATCCCGCTGATCAGAATAGCTCTCAGCTTCGTGTGGGAGCAGCTGGGGTGATCTGGCTGCAGGTGTGTGCACGTGAGCGCCAACACCGACTGTTGTTCCATCCACCAAAGCAGGAGTCCCTCTTCAGCCTCCCACCAGCAGGTGCAAACACTTCTGTGGAAGTAAAAAGGCTTCAGTTCTCACTCCACTTTACGCTCCTCATCATGGCCCACATAGCCCTCCTGGTGAATGTGATATTACCATGCATGTGGGGAACAAAACAGTTTGTACTGCAAAGTTCTGTTTTGTTTCCACTCGCAACTGTTGTGTTAAATATTCAGCACCAACTGTAAACACACGTCTCACAAAGAAGCACTGCTTTCCTTCATTTTGTTGATGGCTTTTCATAATTGCACATATTGCAAACTGATGGATGGTCAACAGATGTACTTAAACATGCTGAAATTGTTCAACAGATTTCTTTTTTCTTTGCACAGTTTGACAAAGCAGCCAAAGTTTTGGGAGAATTAGTTTTTATATGAAATTGCAGTTTGTGAGAAATCCCACTAGTCTGTGTAGACTTTGCAGAAAACGTCTGTCAGAAAGAAATTTGGGTAATGCTTTCTTTTACAGTACCCTTATTACCATTGTTATGGATTAATTATGTATATCTGTTCTACCTTGACACTGTCCAGTAATCATATCTTATTATAACCAGTTTCGGCTGTTTTACTCTATCAGCCCAGACTTCAAGACTCCAGCAATGCATGACCTCTATTTTGATAAAGTAGCTCCTGGGCTGAGAGCCCTGTTATTGGTTGTGTGGTTACAGTTGTTGAATTGTGATTGGTTGTAAACTGTCACGATGTTATATCATTGGCTGCGCTACGCTGACACGCCAGTCATAACACGACAGACTTCCTGATTGACCGTCTGCTGTGCTGTTGCTCAGAATTAAATCATTTGATGACCATACACGCAGACTTTCTGTGCATTTATTCCAATGTGTTTCTGCATTCTTGGTAAATCTTGCCACGACAGTTTTTGGCGTTGTCTGAGGGCGGCTCCAAGGACCGAAGATTGCCCGCAGTGATCGATTTTTTACGGACGACCATCGGACAATGTGGAGAGGAGGGTTTTTTTCTGAGAGAGCTGATGTGTCTTTCTCTGCTGATCGTGTCCGGGTTTGTGATCTGTCCTTCCTTCGGCCGCTGTGGGTGACTTTGGGACTGGAGCTGAAAAAGAACCTGTCTATGACAGAAACACGGTGAGCTAATATTTTTATTAGCACCTTATGCTAAAAGCTACAGCTAATTTTCGGCCCACACACACTGAAATTCTAATTGTTTAGACGCTCGTCTGGTCGCTTCTGCGGTTGTGTTGATTTTAGCCGAGGTAGATATCGGGAACATTTTTATTCCATATCGAGTCAAAACAGGGAGCTTAGCTTTCTGTTTTAATGTAGCCAAAAGGACATTGTTAGTCTTAGGTGAGTGTAGGCAGTTTAAATATGCTTAAACTGCTCAGGGAAAATGTAATTTTCTGTTTTTGTTTCTATTGAGGAGACATTTATAGGCTAAAAGTCATTTTAAGAGGCGGCCACCCCGACTTTCGTTTCAAGAAAGTTGCTTAGGTAGTGCTTTTGTGCACAAGTTTCAGCCAAAGAATGCGACCAGTGGGCCCTTTTGAGCACAGGCCATGGTAAATAAATACGGCGCTGGAAGCTGTGAAAAGTGTCTGCAGGTATGGAGTTTTGATGAATTACCTTTCCCGGACGGTGGTAGTTTTAGTCTGAAAACAGCTCGGCCGCCTCCGTGATCGCTTAGTGGGACGTGATTCAAAGTTTAAATCAAGAAGAACAATAAAAGGTTGTTTTGAAACATTTTTAATAACATGTTTTAGTCTCTTTGATTTTCGGGGCTATTAAAAGGAGCGGATTAGGGGTTTTCCTGTTTCGGCCCCGCAGCGTCACCTCCTGTGGGTGCAGCCTGGCTGCCCTGGTCACCCGCCCCAGCCAGGTAATAAAAAAGTAATTAAATGTAATTACTACCTTAATACCATGTGATTACGTGTTAATTATGGTACAAAAGCAAAACTATATTAGTAAAACTACCTTCATTGGGCAACTACAATCAAATTACTATTCAATAGTAACTCAACACTGTATTAATAACATAAAGAATGCAACAAAATTTGGGGGTTAGAGGTTAATTGCAATAAAATATAACTTTAAAACTGTCCAAATTACCTACTACTTATTTAGGTGTTACAAAGTGAATTGTAATACATTACCAGGTAAGTGTTACATTACTGCAGACAATTATTTACACAGTAAAACTGTACCCTTATTACTACATAATTACATGGTAATAAGTGTACCGTAAAAGAAAGTGTTATCGAAATTTGCATTAATCATCTGAAATGGTCTGTAGTGCGCGGAAGATTTCCAAACTCTGACTGAATCCTTATAAATACCTTAGTGCCAAAACTAAAAATATATAATTGTGTCAGTCTGTTAGCAAATTATTTTATGAATCATTGGATGGTTTTTAACAATTTACCACACATTAACCCTTTGAGTTGCCTTAATTTAAAATGACTGCCACAGCTAATAAACATTAATCAACACAAAAAATTTTACTACTCAATTATTTTTACTGATTTAAGAAATTAAATCTTGATGTGGTGGTAGCCAAGACTCATCCTCAGTATACTGATGGCTAACACATCTCAGATCTCACAATATCACATAAGGTTCAACATGAAGTTTTTTGAAAGGTTTGACAAAAACAGCAATACAATTATCTTTGCTCCTATGATGACTTTAGTTCAAAGCGCTTGTCATTTTTAAGGAGAGACAATTCAGTAAAACAATTATTTTCATCAACAATTAAAGTGTTATGTTTTTTTAATAGCTTTACCACTTCCAAACAAACATAATGGACACTCCTTTGTTTTTCCAATAATTCATTTGTCCTGAAAACCAGTAAGATTGCAACATCTGTCTGGGTTATATATGTTTTGCTGCTGTGTGCGCTCTCTCGGCCTGCAGTCAGCTCCATTCTGCTGTGTGAACCCTCGCCCGCCTCCTCAGCTTACAATTGATCAGACACGTGTGGGAAGTGTGTTTGTGCGCTTCGATGTTAGCTTTTGTTTATAGATGTCAGTTGGGCAGAGAAGGAGGTGGTCCCTGAAGAGTGTGCTTGAACACAAAGGCCATGACCTCTCAGTCTCCCTCCGGTGACCCTGCAGCGCGGCATGCCCAGCTCCTGCCGCTTTCTGAACACTCACCAAGCTCCAGCTCATCTACAGTCTGAGCAACCAACAAGCATTTTAGAAGGAAATTAAAGTAAAAACAAGTTAAAACTTTGTAAAAGTTGTAATGTGTGACTGCATGTGATGCTGATAGATGTGATAATGCTCAGAAAAAGTGTTGGGGAAGACTCTCTGCTACTACCGCACCAGACTTGAGTTAGTAACTGTAACAATGAACTAACTTTAATACACATTTGTTTTAGTTAAGATAAATTAGATAGAAATCTTAAATTGGGTTGACTCTGAATGTTAACACATTTTAGATGTGCATCAGTAATTAAATTTCATCGTATTCAGTCCAGGGTTTCTTGAGATGTTTTGCTAACAGAAAAACTGGACTCTATTAGTCTATCAGTAATGGCATACAGCTCTATCTCTGTAAAATTGACTAAGTCAGGGATGGGCAACTTAAATAATTGTAGGGGGCACAATTTTATAATGACTCTGCTATATATATATAT